ATTCGAGATATCCATGAAGCCGGCTTATTCTCTCCCAGGAGCCAGCCGCCGTAATAGTAATAAAGTAGCAAGGAAATTGGGAAGATGCATGAACGCCACCGTTTCGACACTCAGTCATATCACTCAGTGTCTCTAACCATCGGTTACGATCATCCCGAGGTCATCAGTCAGGGAGCCTTACAGGAGCTATGTGACTCAGAGTTCTGGTTACGGTTTTCATACCCTCATGCCAGGTCTTGGTTTCACCACCCTTGGCTTTCTTCCACCCACTAACTGCCTCGACGAACATCGCCCGCCGTGGTAACCTATTTGGTGCCATGCGTAATTTAGGGAGATTAACCACTTGCTCCAGTGGGCGACCGCGGTTGCCTAAAACTATGCGCCTAACCTCAGCATTGCTCGTGCGGCTCTCACCAGATTCGTGCAAAGCTGCGAAGACAGGTGTTCAAACACCAACAGTCTATTATCATCCAGTTTTCTTAATGACCAAGTATAGCAGTATAGCCGTATAGCAGAACTGGCCGAACTACCGCGGAATATCTTAGACCCTTCGCAGACAGCCGGATGTCGCGACGGTGCCACAGATGTTGGCAAATGCCAACCGAGTCTTTTGTATGCGAGCTGATGCGTCCACAGGGTGATGTTGCTGCTAAAATAACAAGACTTATCCGCTTGCTCTAATACTTCCCTAGTTAGAATGAGGCTGGGTGCTGGACCAACTCAATCTCGTAGCATATTGTACACTCTGAAGGTGCAAAACGCATACCGAACATGGCTACACGGGCACTGGGTGATCAAGGTTGGTTAAAAAGTTGGTGTTCATTCTTCCCCTTAGAATCATTTTGTGTTCGTTCGACTCATTGCCCACTCTATCGCTTCCTATTTGTCCCGTTGGCATTCGTTACGTTCTGGCTATCGATTTTGTACATAATCAAGCGAGTGCTTAGTTCTCCCAGTCTCTGACACCTCAATGGACATACAGACACACGTGCACTGATCACTTGCATGACTTCAACTAAACGAGTTCTCTTGTGACATCCATTGTCCCTTACTATTGGTTGATCCATGTTCCGTCTACCCTTGTTCTGTACCGGTTCACCGGTTATCATTTATCGATTATTTAACCGCCTACGCACATGTGACCCGTTTTGATGGCTCCTCGGGAGTCACCTGTCCACGCACACATACACATACATACATGCATGCACGCACACCTGTCGTTGTTTGTGGCTCATCTTTTAGGAGCTTCATGTCACTGCTGACTAGACTTATTTTGCTTGACTCTGTATACTTTGATCATATTCTCTTTTTCTCAGCGGTGAGCTGCCCCCTTTTGAAGCACCTTAATTGTAAGGTGTAATTCGACACAGTCGAGCGCTGTTATATTTCTATTTTATGCACTTATATCTGGAAGTGCTTTGACGACTGTCCTAACCCAGATACCTCACGAATCAAGTACTGTTAATTCCTTTTCTGCGGAATTAGAAGGACTGCCTTCCCGTGTTAAACCTGGCGACAAGTGACGCGCAAAGTGTTGGTTTTCATTGCACTGGAACCGGGACTTTGCGCGTCACTTGTCGCCAGGTTTAACACGGGAAGGCAGTCCTTCTAATTCTGCAGAAAAGGAATTAACAGTTGGAACATTGAAAAGTTTGACTTCTCATGGGCGCGACATAGCAGGAGATTAGCTGTATTCAACTGGTGATTATGCCACTAGTTAACTGAATATTATCTATGGTATTATCGAATTTTGTCTTTCAGAAAGCTCATCAGATAAAAGAGTCATATGCAATCTCAGTGGTTACTTGGAAAGAATATATGGGTCTGGAAGACGCATAGTGCATTAGACGGAATATAAAGCCAATACAAGGGGAGAACATCTAGAATTGGTCATCGGAAGTGTGCATAAAGCAAAAGTTAACTTGAATATAAACGAGAAGCATACACACCTGCCAGCAGCCGGCTCAGTCATGGCGATTGCACCTATACACCTTCCGCTGGTCATGTTTGGTAGATACTTCCTCTTTTGCTCATCCGTACCGTAACGAGAAATGTAGGGCATGACAATATCCGAATGAAGCGGAAACCCCGGTCCACTGCAATTCGAATACGCTCTAAAATTGTTCGTATTAGTCTAATATCTCTCAAAAATCCACCGAAAAGACAAATAAAAATCAGCGGACTAACAATTCTTCCCATACGACGGCGGAACCAAGAATGTCTCCACCAACACCACCGTCAACCTCCGGAATAGCGATCCCAAGTAACGATTGTTCACCTGCTTGCAACCATAACTAAAGACAGAGACCTTGGAGTGGGTCGAAATTTTCTTACATCTCGATCGACTTGACCTTGTGTTTCCCACCTGTGTTAGAAATTACTACATGTGGTCAGCAAAAGGATCGATTACCTATTGTGATTAGGCATGATATATTCTGTAATGAACTTTCGAGTACTTGAACGAAGTATATCATGTTCCTCCGAGAAAATTCTTCGTGTTCCAATGTCCATTAGATAATTGGATTGAGCGACTTCGGTACGATAAGAAAAACTTAGAGACTCTGTAATGATCAAAACATCGATGCGTACCATCGTAGCACTTCTTTGAACCTCGGACGTAACACCAAGAGGTAGCGAGACATAGTAGCTGAGAATGAAAACAAATCAGAGCAAGCGAAAAACTGAAAATCAGCGAAAATTAGATCATAAGGGAAAATCCTTCTGGAAAATCTAACTAATGATAGCCACTTTCATGCTATGGAAACACTATCCTCATTGAAGCGTCAGGCAAAATCGGCGATTATCGTAGAAAGTAGAATTTTAATGAAAGATAGTGGGTAACCTCAGAACCACAGAGTAGTGGAGGGTCCCGGACTTGAGGTGTCCAGTGGTCCAATTTCTCGGGCTGGCGGGCTCCTTGATCCTCAGTGCTTCAGATATATGGTGGAGTATATTTGGACATCTGAGAGTAAGCTTATTTGTGCAACTGCTGTCTTCAGGAGAAAATAGAATCTCTAAGTTTAACTGGAGAGTTCCAGTGTTCTGTCCATTGATTATTGCGGACATAAATGTACAATAATGAAAGATTTATATATTGGACGATGAGGTTGTACATTGATGAGGTGTGGACGGCTTGTGCATTACTGTGGTCAAAAGAGCTGCACAAGATGACCTTAGTCGAACTGAATACTTAATCATGCTTAGAAAGTTTAAGGGTGGACATGAGACAAAGTCCTGGTCCACCAGATAGACTTTCAGTGGGCGTCTTAGTCGGTGATACAATGAGAATTAACAGACGAATTTCTCTTTATATAAACCGCCGACTACACCGGTGTGAAAAGCGAGAGAGAGAATGAAGGGGGAATTAGAAATAGGAGAGAGAAGGAAAGGCATCTCGAGGATTCCCCATTTCCGTAAATTTCCTAAACACTAATCTCTCTTCCAAAACGCTTGCAAGTACGCCCACTCATTCAGGTGTTGCTGGGCCACCCCTGTATGTTGACATGCCAGATCGAACCACAATATGGCCATTTTCATTTGTAACGGGTAGAGTTGGATGTGTCCCCTCGTACTTACCCGGTGCCTTGATACCTACTTGCATCATGTGGGCCAGAGTGCTCGGTCAAACCGGGGTATCATATCTGAGGCCCCCCAGTGAGTGCTGATGTCTGGAAGCCCTGGGTAAGGAGACCACTACCCCGTTCAGTGCTCAGGCCATTTGGAGTCAATTCTCAGGAAGATAGCAAAATTGACCGGTCAGATATACAGCGCTGAATACACTAGTTGCAGTTCGTATATATACATAAACATACACCATAGTAAGCAGTATGTCAATGACTGGACAAAATTTCCTAGGAAGCACACAACCGGTTTCTCGGTTCTTGCCGCTCGTCAGGCAGGCGTATCCGTTAATCTTTTGTCAGTTCATTCATATACTTGCAGCCAGGAAATGTACTTTCGTCGCAATGACCTTGTTCTTTTATTACACACCGGTGCGTGATGAACAGCAGACGGGTTGGAACCCCAAATAGTAGTGACCCTTCACTCTTTGTTTGATCGGCAAACATAGATAGCATTGCTGAAACAGACCTCAACGCTCAGTTCACAAGTTTGTGATTTTAATGTCCATAACAGGGATTGGCTGTTACGCTCTTCAGGGGCATCGCCCCTTGGACGTGAAGCAGAATCATTTGCCCTATTGAACAGCCTCCACCAACTGGTTGATTTCCCGACCCGTATCCCTGAACGTACTGGCGACCACGCTCACACCCTCGATCTTGTCCTCACACGCAGCCCACAATTATTTTCCAATGTTGCTGCTCTTCCTCCCCTAGTCTCATCGGACCATTGTCTTATTTCATTCTCTACCCAAATTATTCGTTCTGATGTTCCTCTCAATTCTGGACTCACATTTTGGTGATATGGTTCCGATGCTTGATGCAGCTTTCGCACCTTTCTGGCTTCCTACCCCTGGAATGAATGTTGCTTTTCCACTGATATCTCCATCTCCGCTTCGAAGTTCTCCAAAGTTCTTTTGTAAGATATGCACCTATTTATTCTTCATTTCACTAAACCTGGCAAGCTTCTTTCTCCAGAATCGTTCAAACACACCTGTTGTCGCGCTGTTAGTAAAAACAATCGGCGTTCCGCCGCTGGCGTCGGTCACCTTCCTCAGCTACCGCCGATGGTTTTTGTTAGCACGTAACAAATGCACAACCGTCAATCATAAGGCTAAAGAGCACTGTGTTGAGCGCAAAACAGCACAATTGGCGACAACTCCTCTCGGAAGCTGGACGTTTAGGTCAAGCGCTAAGGCAGTCTCCCGTAACTTCTGTTCCACTAACTTCCCACCCATTGTTACACCATCCGGTGACATAGCATCCGACCCGTTGGAAAAAGCAGAGTTTGCCTCCCATTTCGCTTCAAATTCTATCCTTTTTGAATCACCCACCCAACCCTGCAAACACCCTACGGCAAACCATCTTTTCACACCGTTCATTTCCACCAGAAAAATAAGTCACATCCTTTTGTCGCTGGACCCACACAAGTCACCTGGACCAGACGGGATTCCTCCCATTGTCCTCAAAAGTGTGCCCCAGAACTGGCTCTCCTCCTACGTCGCTTATTCCGTCCATCTCTAAATTCAGAGATATTCCAAACCCCATGGAAAATATCAGAAATATTTCCAATCCCCAAACGCAGCTACTACTCGGACCCAAACAACTACCGCCCCAACTCTCTCACACCAGTTATTTTGAAAGTCATGGAATCAGTTGTTGCTAATCAACTCCGCCACCACCTGGAGCAGAACACTATGCTTAGCGANCGACAGTAAGGGTTCCGATCACATCGACCTACCGGTGATCTCCTGGCGCTCATTTCGCATACATGGTCAGCGGCACTCGACAACCACGGGAAACCCATGCGGTGTCACTGGATATATTGAAAGCTTTCGATCGTGTCTGGTACGCTGATTTGCTGGCTTTCCTTCGGAACTTGTGTCCTGGACAGCAAGCTACCTCAAGGACTGCAGCATCTCCGTCAGAGTAAATGGGACCATGTCTCGTTCCGTCTGTGAATGCTGGTGTTCCCCAAGGCTCTGTTCTCCCCCCTTCCCTTTTTCTGTTTATAGATGACCCTCAAATCTAATCCACGCCTTTGCCGATGACGCTACTCTACACTCTTCTCCGTCATATTCCTCTTCGCTGAATCCAACATTAGTGACGACCACTCCTCTCCTAGCTTCTCCCTGAATTCTGATCTGGGCCTTATCTCTGCTTGGGGCTGTAGCAACCGTGTTCGCTTCAATGCCAGTAAAACCTCTCTTATGTCCATTTCTCTTAAACACACATCTTTCTCCTCTTCCTTGAATTTCAACTCGAACACTCTCAGTTCCACAGAATCATGCAATCTAATGGGTCTTTCCATATCTTCTTCTCTTTCTTGGTCACCTTATATTTATCTACTTGTTTCCTGCGCTGCGCGCGAAATTGGTATCCTCTTCCGCGCCAGAAGTTTTTACATCCGCATTCACGTCCTCTCGCTTTACAAAGCTCAGATTCGTCCTACACTTGAAAATTGCAGTCATGTGGGGGATGGAGCTTCTTCTACCTCACTATCTCTTCTTGATCAGGTTCAATGTAAGGCCATCCGTCTCACCAACGACCCATCCCTACCATCCAACTTGCAGTCACTAGCTCACCGTCGGGCAGTCGCTTCTTTATTCTTTGTTCTATCGACACTACTTTGGATTTTGCTCTGATGAACTTTCCACATTTGTCCCTCTCCCACTTTTTCTTCCTCGTAGATCCCGCGCGCAAGCGGCTAGCCATCCATTTCAAGCGACCATCCCCAGGTGTCGCATTTCTATAATCATTATCATTGTACGGCGTAATACAGTGAATCGAAATTCACTGAGCGCTGCCAAACTCATATTGCATACAGGGAAAGTGATAATGTGTAAGGAGGACAGGAATTAGACCTATTTTTAGGGACGGGAAAAGAAAGCGAACCCCTACGGTCAACACAGAGTAAACAGTTCAACTGAGCATACATACTATTTCAAGCGTTTTGGTCTGATAAGAAGTGACAACACGATCGCCATTGCTGTCGGTTTACCGCCAGGGCCTTCAGTGTCTCCAACCATGCGGTTTCGGAGTCTTTTGAACCCCAAACCGGAAGACGAGAGACAACTACTTTACTCAAATTACACTATTCATTTCTTCATGTCTCGTCTCCACATCATCTGCTGACCTCCACGTGAATTTCTCCAGTCTGCAACAACTACTGCTAATAAGGTGCGCTCCGGTAGGCGACCGTCCGACATACGCGACACGTGTCCGAAAAAAACGGAGCCTATTGGGCTGAATTCCATGAGATAGCAAGTTCTTGTTTGACACCTTCCCAAACACCCGACGACTTACTTTTAAGTTACTAACACCCTCACTCCATTCAACCCGGTCCAGACTACGTAAGCATCGATTATCGAAAACCACTAGGCTGCGGATGTCTTCTACCCGGAAATTCAAGGTCTCACAACCGTGAAGCAGAACTGATCATACA